TACATCAATTCACACTAATCAATAATAAGAATATATTTTATACTCAGTGGACGTGTGTGAGGTCCAAAAATGATTTTTTTTAAAAACTTTTATCTCCTAGTTTGACATAATGTGAGAGTAAAAAAACAAAGAGTTTCACATTATGGTTGCGTAATTGCCGTTTATAAATGTTTAGGTATCTTTAATAAATATTTATCACTGAATGACAGTACTGATTCAATCATTGTGTGTAAGCTTTACTTTAATTATGTTAGCTCAGAAATAACAAATTAATATTATGGCCGTAGATATTCTATATAATAAATCTAAATTGTGGCGTCTAGATTAAGAGAATATTTTTGAGTTCATTGTATTTTTGTTAAATATTTTAATGAAGTACCAATATTAAGTAAAATTAATACATAACAATGTATTGTTATTATGTATGTATTAGATAAGGAAACAAAACTTCATCTTATTTGATTAACATTTTTTTTTTTCAAAATTATAATTATCTGTATATTATTTTGGAACTAGGTGTTTGAACAATAATAATACCAAAACGAAATAATTTTGATTTTGCGTATTAGAATTATTTAACTATTTCATGATGTTAAATATGCGGAGTCCGAGGACAGTATATTTTCTAAGCAAGGGATCGCCAACCAGTCGATCGTGATCGACTGGTCGATCTTTTTAGGAATATAGGTCGATCGTTGTACAATTTAAATTTACCACTATCGGTCGATCGCGCAAAATAATCAGATTAATCGGATAATGTTAACATTAGATTATTATTATGAAAGTACAATAAATAATTATTCTTTGGATCTTAAACCTTTTTTTCTTTTGCTCATCAAACAAATCTCTTCATAAAGACCTAAATTCACTTAGATGTCGATCACCAGGGACTTAAATGTCAAATGTAGCTCACTTGTTTGAAAAAGTTGGCGATCCCTGTTCTAAGCCATTTATAACTTGAACATTATTTCTCGGTGTTTTATATTATGAATTATAATCTATAAGTTACTCTATGGAAATGCTTTGAAAGCGTTTTTAAATCAGAGACTTAGGTATCTAATTTTGGGTTCGTGGTTTTTTTTTTTTTGTTCTTGTTTTAAAAATGATTTAAATGATTTAAATATGTGGGGGAAAGTTGAATTTTTGTTTTGTTGATTTATGGACAAGTACCTATCACAGATTCTTGATATTTTGCGCCCAGGAGTAAACATGAATTGGGTTTTTCTACGGAGGCCTGCAATGTATTTCAATGTAGATCAATATAAGGGTAAATACTACATACATTTAATAAAATATCATTTATTGATATTAAATTCATGTGTGTTTTTTAAGTAGTTAATAAATTTGCGATCCTCCTTCCCTCTTCTACCCATAGTGAAAAAAAATTAGTATACATCATCATGTAGGTCGTTTTTTTTTACATATTTAAGTACTTTATAGGTTATAATTTACTATCTATTAAATTATCTATTTAACTGACAGTTTTAAAAAAGTAAAATATACTATAGATTTCTGAGTGCGTGCGTAGTGGAAAATTTAGAGAATTGTTGTCTCATTTAAATGCTTATACAGAAGTATAGTTCTTTTTTATTTAATTAGGTATATATGAATATTATATTATATTTACATTAAAATTATTATTATAATCTTTAAATTTATAATAAATACATGCATATGACTTCCATACAATTCACAACCAAGATTTAAATTTTAGTATATTGTGAATTTATCATAATATATTATTTATAACATATATATATATACTGAAATTATTGTATTTTTCATTTGACATAGCATGCTTGCGAAATTGGTATCTAAAACTTATTTTTATCAATCGTATATAATAATAATGAACAGCAACGATTAGTGAAAGAAATAGTCAAACCGTTGTAATCACAAATAGACAATTATGAGAAACAAAATATATCGACTAAATACTATTCCATCGACAAGGTTTTTATTTTTTAAAAGTTTTATAAAATTAGTGGCGCACAAATGTATTTCGAGAGCACATGCAACTAAAAAAAAGTTAGCCACCCGGCCACCCACCAACTTTTTTTTAAAAAAAAAAACGTTCGTTTAAATTGTTGTCTGTAACTGTAATTAACTCTTAAAACAACTATAAATTTAAGAAATTAAGATTTATTATAATTAATTAAAATTAATATGTCTACACCCAGTGCCGTATAGGTGTAATGTTTGTATAATAATAATAATGTTATTTGCTTACCATACTCCCAAAATGTTTGGTATCGAAGTTGTCTAATTATTTACCCACCCATACATTCACCCACGACGAGAGCACATGCAATTGTACTCCTTGGTAACCTGTCTGGGCGCCACTGTATAAAATCAATGTACTTATTAATGATATATTAATACCGTTAATCAATTTCTATCCCAAAGTTTTAATATTTCTCATTAAATACAAAAATATTTTAGTGAACAAATTGTTGACCGCTTATTAATTTGTTTCTCAAAGTAATTATCGCTACTTCCCTTCTTTCCTTAACAAGGTCTTTGCGTAAATCCGGCATATTATTTCAAAATAATACTAGTTTTGTTTTAAAATTGGAACTAAAACAGAAAAACCCATGTATTACATTAGTTTATATTGTTTTACATGTACATACCGTGGTCATCTAACCGTGATGTATATATCAGTTATGACAACCTACAGTATGAAATTAACTTACTATATATTAAAAGATATTTTGTAAATTTGAATTTGATGCACAAAATTTAAAAAACAGTAGGTATTGCAAAACTATTTAACTAAATGTTTTCTAGCTTTAATTCAAGTGCTCTCTAGTTCTTCAATGTATTATTCAATGTTGCATCACTTAATATTTTTTGACTGAGCCCCTTTCTTCTTGTGTTAGGAAATCAGCTTCCTCTTTTTTTTTACGTACATATCAAGTATTCATGTCTAATATAGCCAATGGGAGGGGTTGTGTAGCTTAGTTGATCCCCTAACCAATGTCCCAGCTGTCTTATACCACCTGGCCTCTGTTCTCCCGCCATATAGCCTTAGTGTAGTGTTGTATTCTATACGCACATTTTTTTTCGTATCATGTAGGTTGTTTTGTCATTCATTATTTAAGACTCTCATAATAAAATATTTTCTACAAAGTCGATTTCTTAATGTTTCCATGTCTAAGCGACCTTATAACTGTGTAAGTGGTCCAGAATACCATAATACTTGTAATAAACGAATGCTTTTACTTCCACCAAATGAAGAGTAAGTTTTAAAATGCATTTACTTTTTTAAAAACAATATTATTGTATTTCTTATTTAAGTAGAATAATGTAATTATTAAATAGTTAAATAATTCAAAATAAATAAATAAATAAATAAATGTATCCTAGTAAAATTAGGTTTGTGATTTTTACATACATAAATGTGTTAAATACATAACTCTACTAGTACATTTTTGTATTAATTATTTTCTATTAAATTTTAATTGTATTTAATATTATGACTGTTATTATTTAAAACAGTGGTGCTCGACTTGCGGCCTGAGGGCCACGTGTGGCCCATGAAGGTATTCAATGTGGCCTGTTGCAATTTTTTTAAAATTACTAATTTTATTTTCAAACATTTTCAAATAAAAATTTCTCGATAAAACCCGTGCACCTACAAAAGCCTACTGATTAAATTAATGTTTACCTACACTTTAATTTGTAATCTTTTCAGTAGTTAATAAAATTTTTGAAAACAAATTTAACATGTATATTATATACCTACTATGTGTAACATTATTAGGTTAATATTGATATTATTCGTACTTTTATATTTGGTGGCCTGCTCTAAGATAATTGTTTACCAATGTGGCCCACTAAGAAAAAAATATTGGAAATCATTCTTATAAAATTATAAAGAAGATATTTTTATATACAAATGTTAAACTAGTTCTTCTGTAAATTATAGATCTTTAATATTTTCTTAAATTTACATTTAGCTAAATTTAATAAGTTATCCTATAGTTAATTTAACTTGGTAAAATTATATGATATTGTGGTTATTAATTATTTTATACATGTTAATGTAACAATTTTATTTTTTAATATAATTATCACTTATAAAAGCAATTGATGTTAATTTTAATGTATGATATTTAATTTAGCTAATATATACACAGCAATTATTTTAATGTAACTGTGAGAAATATTACTGATTATTTTAGTATATTGTTATGTTATGTAAGTGACAGATTAATATTAGAAAAAGTGTTACAAATTCATAAAACTGTATTTTGGTGCTTACTAAATTAATCATTACACTATTAGGTACTTAACCTAATACAAGATAATGAAAAAATACTACAACTTATTTATTGCTAGTATGTACTGTAGCGTTGGATTATTTAATACACCTAAAATGATTTTATTAACTTTGTATGGTAAAATTATAAATTTAATTGGATTATTTAGCTTTATTAAATTACTTGCCATTTAAAAACCTATGTTATGTATATTAAGAATTTTTTTCTTAATCTGAATTAAGCTTTATATCAAGTTGCAATTATATATTGTTAAAAAATAAACATAAATGTTTTAATTAGTTAAAAAATATAATTTGTAAAAATTGGAGGGTTAATTGGAAGTATTTATTTATTAATTTTTTGATGAAATAGATTATCATGTTAATATTTTACATATTGTACTCTTGATTTATTATTTAGTCAATATTTTGATATAATTAGGTTAGTATTCTTTAAGAAGAAGGGTTCAGGAAACAGGATTTACGGTCTATAACTTCATACCTACTCCATTATTATTCCACAAAAAAAAAAAAAAAAATGATTATACTCCTTTGTATGTATTTAAGTATTGACCCTCTTTATGTATAGTAAATATTTTCTTAATGAAACTTTTATAATGGATTTATTTTGAGTATTTTAAATCAAAAACATTCATAATTTTATTTATATTAAAATAAGAATTCCTAGTTATTTATTACCAGTTATAATACTACTTTCATGTTTTAAATTGTTAAGGTCCAAATCAGGTTACGATAGTGAAACGGATGATGGAGAAGATTCAGATGATTATGCGGTGCCACTTGGCATCCCAATATTGTCAGGTGAAGATGGTCGACGGTTGGTTGAATACAAACCATCGAACAACTCCATCAATAAGGGTCGCTGGACCAAAGAAGAGGTCAGTAATTAGTGTTCAGAAAGATAAAAAAAAAGAATATCCTAAATTTTTTTGATTAAAACTCAAAGGATTTTTAAGTTAATTAATTTAAATATCTACAATATACATGTCACAGAAGTACACTTTTAATTTTTAATTTATTAATTTCTACAATATTAGAAGACATATTATGTGATAATTATATAAGTCTATAGGATTGGTGAGCTTATATGTTTATAGTTGTATACATTATATTAAATATTTATGTATAATGCATAATTGTTTGTTATTATTGACATTTTATTACTCTATATAGGATATGAGATTAAAGCAACTTGTAGAAGAATACCAAGAACGATGGGATGTCATTGCCCAACACTTCACCGATCGCTCAGATATTCAATGCCAACAGCGATGGCACAAAGTTGTCAATCCCGATTTAGTAAAAGGGCCTTGGACAAAAGAAGTATAATGAGTTTTAAATTGTTTAAGTTGTGAAATTAATAAATTATCTTTATTTGTGTTATTAGGAAGACGAAACTGTATTGGAACTTGTAGAAAAATATGGCCCCAAAAAATGGACTCTTATAGCACGACATTTAAAAGGCCGAATAGGTAAACAGTGTCGTGAAAGATGGCATAATCATTTAAATCCAAATATTAAAAAAAGTGCCTGGACAGATGAAGAGGATCGAATAATATTTAGGGCTCATAGTCAATGGGGGAATCAATGGGCCAAAATTGCTAAATTGTTACCAGGAAGGTATAATTAAATAATTACATTTACTAAGTATAAATTATTAGTTTAAAAGACATTTTCAATGGTTAAGATTCATTATCTCATAATTTGCTGACAAAATATTTATATTATATTAATTTAAGGCCTTGGTAAGGTGTCTATAGTAATCTCTCAATATAGATCAGTATTTTTTTTAGAAATAAAGTTATTTATACCAACATAAAAATGATGATCATTTTTCTTCTTCATTTATCTTGTTGGGTGCTTTGAGCCTTTTACTAATTAATGGAAATTTAGAAATTTATATTAAAATGTAAATAATTTTGTTTAAAAATAATTTATTAAAGTATGTGAAAAAACATCAAAACAAATAAATAACAATTTTACAATAAAATCTGCATAAAAATGTTCATTATAATTTTTGATATGATTTTATGGTTATCAAGTTGTGAATTAATTATTCATTTTACTATATTTTTAATTAATGACAGTAGTATAATTTTCGATCTAAATACTTATTAGTTATTATACTCATAACTAATAATACAATTTAAGAGAAAACTGATTATTTTGTAACACAAATCTATAAAATTCCAAATTATATTGTCAATGTATTTTTACTTTGATTTAAAATTTGTCAGTTTTTAGGTTTCACACCTTTGCCATTAATGTGTAATTTACATGTATTTATTTTTAAAGTAGTCAAATTTAACAATTGTATTTATTATCTAAAAAATGTTTAGGACTGATAATGCTATAAAAAATCATTGGAATTCAACCATGCGAAGGAAGTATGAAATTGATGATAAGGGTGAAGTGTATGGTAAAAGTATGTTAAAACCAAAATCAAAAAGTATTAAATCCTCAATGGATAACAGAGACGAATCTATCAAAAGCCTTCCAAATACATCGCTTATTAATCAGTCCGAATACATTACTATTGATGTGCCAACACAAGTAATATTTAATTGTATATATTGTTTATAAGTATTTATATTTTAACATTTATTCTAGTATCTTGGTTGGATGCCTCCAAAATATATTCCTGATGATATTCAACTTAAAGAAGATCCTGATCAGGATGTTCGAGATAAAGCTGAAGTTGTTGCTGCTGCAGAAGTTTTAAATTCTTTAATGTCAACTCCTCAGAAAAAAAATCCAATTGTTGTTAAAGATGTATTTAAAATTGATTATAAATTTGAGTCTCCTCCTAGACCAGCATCTGTACCTTTGCAAACTAATTCTCCATCATGTTATTCACCATATAGGTATTATATTAAATTATGAGAAATAATGAATTAGGTTTTATAATTAATTTAATTCAGGTTGTTCGAGACTGGAGGTTATATCGAAACTCAACAAACTAGTAATAGTGTTGTGGGTAGTTCTCCTGATGAAGGGTATGCTGAACTTCGCCTTAATACACCTGTAAAATCTCCAAAACAAGAATCATGTCAAGAAATTTGTAAGTTATTATAAATTATAAATTATGTTACTACATTTTAAAAATGTCATGTTGTAGTTTATCATTATAATACTTCACCCAACAAACCAAATTCATTTTCACCAAATAATAAAGTTCACCGGCGGCGTAGAAGTTTTTCAGAATATCCTGAAATTGGCTTGAATATACAGTGCAATGTAAGTGAAAAAATAAATATAATAATTATAAGCTAATTTTGTTTACATTAAGTATGGGTAAAGTATAAAAATATCAGTGTAGGTATTTCACCTAGTCTTGTTTTACATTTTTGAAAAAGCTTTTTTTTTGAGTTTGAGAATAAATATTGCTGTTGTTTTATTCAAAGGTAAGATTATGGGTTTTATTTTTTTATTGTATGGGTGCTTTATTGGTTTTATTCATTAATATATTGTATTTGGCACAGGTACTACATCATATTACCAACAAATTCATAAATTAATTGGAATTTAATAATTATATTGCTGTATAATAAAGATTGTGTTTGCTTTATTTGCCATGTTATTTTGCATTTACAAATATTTATTAATGTACATTGAAATTGAGTTAAAGATTCAAGGGATTTATGAAACAAAGTTTTATTAAATGCAAATACTTTATTGACATTTAATTTGTTAAGATTATATTCAGATGTAATGGTGCTTATAAAATATTCACCAAAAAGTTATCAATTAATTTTTGTTATTTTGTTTTAATATAATCTTTTAAATTTAAATTTAATTGTATACTTAATGTTTGTTAATGAATTATAATTAAGTATAATATTAAAATTTGAATTTATGATGTAGTTACCAATTTTGTCATGTACCGTGTACCAACATTTAAGCAATTCATTTTAAGGGCGCATTTATTTCTTATTTTGGTAAAAAAGGTTATGGGCCATTCATCACTTCAATCCTGGTATTATTCAAAGTAATCATTTTTATTGTAAAACCAAATTCTGTAGTTTTTATTTTATTTAAAATCATAAATTTTACTGATTAAATTTTCACAGTTATCTACAATGATTGAAACGACATAATATTTAGCTGATTTTACATGTTTAAGTTGCTTTTATATAGTTTTTATTTCCATTAATCCTTGGATAACATCCTATGCTCAAACTTCAATAGTTAATCATAGTTTATTTTAAAATCACTAATACGATAAACGTTTATTTTTTTTTATAATGGATGATTGTGATGATGAACATAACAGACCATTTTGTGTTTTTAATTTATTATTTCCATATTTTAAATTTTACTAAATATATATTTATTGAAAATAACACATACTGTTGAATTAAAATTAATACGATTTAACTTTCAGTATGAATTGTGTTTTCAGAATACTTAAATTTTATTAAGTTTTTTCTATTTTAGAATTAGTTATGTAGACAAAATTGGCACTTTTTAAATTTGGGTATGATTGTTGCTTTAAAAAAAAAAAAAAAAAAAAAAATTGAGATGTGTGTGTCTTTGTGGTCTAGACTATTTTGTCAGGCTTGAGCATACCTGGAACACCAGAAAAAAGAACACCAATTAAACAACTACCATTCAGTCCCTCACAAGTATGTAAATATATTATCATTTAACCTCCATCGTATATTGTTGTATTATATTTCATTATGTATACTCTTAATACATATGCATGTAATTGACTCATATGTAAGTAATTAGTTTTATTGCCTTTATTGTTAACTTATTGTTGTAGTTTGATTAAAAGTTTATGTATGGTAATCATTTTTTTAATTTTATGAATCAAATTTGTTAGATTTTGGTGTAATGATATATTAATTTTGGATGGTTAGAAATTCACTTTTTTTCTTAAATGTTAACAATAAATATATTAATTATGAAATAATTTTATAAATTATATTAAATTAAATGATTTTTATCATTCAGTTTTGCTTTTAAATTAATTTATATTCTAAATTTTGTTAACATATCTCATTATATTTTGTGTGCATGAGGTTTTTGTTTATTTTCTTTTATTTTTTGCATATAAATTTGGTGGTTGGAATTTTTTACTTATTTAAATTTCATTAATAATGTTTATTAGGATTGGGTGCATTATTGTAACAACAACAATAAAATTTGTTTGAAGATTTAATCATGTGATTTATTATTATGATTGTTACTAAAACAATAATATAATTAAATTAATTTTCACTTGAATGTTTGAATGAATTGTTGTTACTATAGTGTAGTTATTGGACTAAGGGATATAATATAAATACAATTTTATTTCTGCTAAAATATTTTATTAGTATCTAATGCCTCTAATTTGTTTAATTTATTTAAATTTAAATATTAATCTCTATTTTTTTTTTTTTTTTTAGTTTTTAAATAGTCCATCATTATCATTTGATGTTAATTCATCTTCAACACCTGTCAGGCGTCTATTACCTAGTTGTAGTAAACTAAATGAGGAATCTGGCGACCAAACTATAAAATCAGAAACTTTGGTTACACCAAATTTAACCTATAAATTTGCTGGAAGGAGTCGTGATGATGTCAAGACTCCAGAAATAATGTGTAAAATAAATACCCCTCATACACCAACTCCGTTCAAAATTGCTCTTGCTGAGGCTGGTCGTAAAATGGGTGTAAAACATTTGGTAAGGAATAAATTGGTATAAGCAATGTTTACTCTATTCACTTATTTGTATATTTTACTTAGGCTCAATCGCCGTCAGCTTTAATTGAGGATATTACTGATTACATTAAGCAAGAGGATCGAGTAAAAAAAGAATCAGAATTTTCTGATTCACAGTATGAAACTGATAGCTCTAATATGTTCTGTGTAATAATTTTAAATTTCTTTGTGTTCATTATTATTTTCATTTTATTTTTAAATTATAATTTGTAGGATACTAATGATACCGTTGCATGTGGAAAAGAAAATGCAGAACCTTCATCACCTACCCCTCAAAAAAAAGCAAGAAAAAGTCTTGCCCCAGTTTGGGCTTCACCGACTGCTTCTTGGAATCAGCCTATTGATTCATCTGTAAGTATTTTTAATTAAGTTCATATAATGATCATTTTAATAAATATTTTATGATTGAAATATCAGATTTAAAATTTTCTATAATTATTTATAATTATATACATGAGTAAAAATAGTATCTATTATTATATATTTTGATTATTTACAATAATTCTAAAAATGTATATACAAATTATTAGTGATTTTTATTTTTATTAAGTTAAAAATAATGTATATTTTTAGTCTAAAATAATTAGAGAAACAAATACTGAAGAAGTATATGAATCAAGTATAATTGATGGCACTAGGAACATGTTTACACCTGAAGAATATTCAGCTTCAAAGGTAAAAAATAATCTTTGGTTTGTTATTCACACTAATTTGGTTTGAAGAGTGAATATTATATCATACACAATACCTATTATCTTTTTTTGTGTGCCCGTTTTTAGACTGATAATTTTTATTAATTTTTATTTTTCGTAACTTAGATTTTTTGTTTGTTTTGTTAATATTTTTCAGGTATTTGGGTGAGTAGGTCATTAAAAAACCTAGTTTTTCTTTGTCACTCTTTTAATGATTGCACCCTTAGATGATTCATTGCAGTTTATATAGTTTTGCACTTAGAGAAGTATACTTAGTTTCAATCACCCATAAAATAATAGTAACAACAAACACTTGAAGGTGCATGAACATTATTTTTATTTTTTTTAAAAAAAAACTATTGAATGGTAACTTGGTCTATTGTTTTGTATGTTAAAAGGATTTATAACTGAGTATTAATAATTGAAATTTGATACACCAACAGAACATCATTTTTCATACGTTCAATAAATTCAATTAAATATTGACCCTTAAAATACATATCTAAACAAAAAATGTATTTTATATTTTTTATAAATTGGTTTGTGTTTGTTCAAATGGGTTCTAACAAATTTTTAATATATATATATATATACAAATCATTTAAAAAAATTTTAAGATGGAGTCTATAGTTTCAATATTTATGTGTCAACTAAATGTATTTGTGGTAAGAAAATAATCTTGTGTTTAAATAAATCACCTTATTATATTTATTATTACACGTAGTATAGATTGTTGTTAGTGATTGGCAGAAATTATTATTTACTATTAACCATTAATTGGTTTTCTTCACACATACATATCCCCTGCTAATTTGTCTAATTTGCCGGCCCAACAAATATGAAAATTTAAATTAGTCAATAAATTTTCCATTTTATCACTAATCTTAAAGACTTAATAATTTATTAATTATTTATTTAAATGTACTAATTTAGATGGTTTTAAAATTTATTTTTATAATTAAATAAATACAAAATTAGAAGTACACTAGTACTCCTAACCTAATGGTTTTAAGAAATTTAAATTTGTGTCTTTTCAATGTTGCATAAAGCATTCAAAAAAAAAAAAAAAAACCACGTTAATAGAGTAAAATATTTTCTAAAATTAGGAATTTATTGTTAGTGAATCTTTGGTTACTATGTGATGCAATTTTGAATTTTTTTATTTTTTTAAATAAGTCTTAAAATAATTTTTTATAATTTAAGTTAATGATTTATTATTTAAATAAAATATTTCAATTAATCCTTTGAGTATAGACTTATAGAACAAAGTTGTATAGAGCTACAAACTAAATTTATTGGAATTAATAAATTCTGCCTATCACTAATTGTATTGTAATTAGAAAAATTTTGTTGAATGTGTTTGTAATTTGAGATTTAAAGTTGTATGGGTAAACATTAACATTATTGTATAAAATATGAAGTAATTAAAATCATTAAAATAAATGTTGTAATGATATTATTTTGGGTATGTTTATTAATATTCAAAAATATGTTATTATTCACCCATATAATTTTTTCATTATTTTTTGTGCATGATTTAATGAATTCTAAAATAATAAGAAATTCTATAGTAAAAAAAATTGAAAAGAACTAATTTAAAAATAATAATGGATCCTAGTTTTCAAACTTATATGTTTCTTTAATTTGACTAACATAGTTTTCTATAAACAGTGAGTTCTGCTTAATGTGATCACATTGGTCCAGGCTATTTTGATTCTACTAAACGGTTGATTCCATAAATTTTTTTTTTCATGGTTCTATATTTATATATATATACTTAAAATAAAATTTAAATTAAATAAAAAATAATTTAAGAACAAAAAAATACATTTAAAACAATGTAAAATAATTATCTATTTTTGATTGTACTTGAGACTCTTCTAATTTTTTTTTCATATTAGCCTGAAATTAATATATTTTAAGGTAAAATTAAACACTCAATATTTAATAATAATGTTTATGCATTGTACCTGTAATTTTTGAAACAACTGAAAAGTATTGTTATCACTGTATTTTTGAACAGCTTCTTTCATCTTTTCCAAAAAATTCTTATTTCTTTTTTAGTGATTTCCACAATTGTCTCATCATCGTCTTCTTCAATATTTTCTTCTTAATTAATTTGTATTTAAAAATCAGTTACTTCTTTATCAGACAATGCTCCAAAAGTAGATAAATCTTGATAATTAAAATCCAATTTTCAAAATTTGTGTCTATGAGTTCTGAGTCCTGTAATTCTTCATCATCGGACTCAATTTGTGAAAATCCAGCTCTTCGAAAACAATTATACATTTTGAAGTAACTTTATCCCAAGAATTAACTACCATATGTACAGCTTCTAACACATTAATTTTACGAGCTATATGTGATGCTGGAATTTCACATACATCTATAGTTTCAATAATAAAATTTCGCATTGCTTTTCGATAATAAGTTTTCATTGTTTTTATGATTCCCTGATCAAGAGGCTATATAATTGAAGTAGTGTTTGGTGGTAAAAATTTCAAATCGATGTTTTGTAAATTTTATTTCGGACATTGTTTATATCATCAGGTGCATAATTAGACGATGCAATACAATCCTTTAAGTTTTCTTCTGCAGCTTGAAAATCTGCGTCTTTTTTCTCCGCATGTTTTTTTTTTTAAACAATATTGTTTCTGTTTTTCTAACGAGTCAATCACCCAATCGTTGGATAAAAATTAGCTATACCTAGTTGCAAAGCTAAATGTATAGCTTTCTCTTCTAAAACAGAATTACTGACCGGTACATTTGAATTTCTAGCTTGTTGAAGCCATCGTAACAAACATTCTTCTATATTAACATTTTGTCTATTTCGTTTCCGATTTTTTAAAATTTTGTTTTACGTAGGCTGAGAGGAATTTTCAGAGCTAATGCGGCTTCTCTTTGTGAACATTTTTTTAATTTATTAAACCGAATGTGTAATTCTTTTATTGATTAATCTTTTCGTTTGTTTGACATTTACGAAAAATGTTTAATCACGAACTACAATAAAATATAAGACGAGTATACAACATACAACGATAACTGAGCCACGCGATGTACACCATACACTGTTACACTGATAAATTCAAAAATAAAACTATTGTTATAAATTAATCGGTTTGATACACCATAAAAATGAAAAGAATGTTCATTAGTAATTCAATTATCCGGTACATAGTGATTCTAATAAAAGATCAATTTAAAATTAGAATCAAAAGATTTGGTTTGGGATTTTACTTTTTGATCACAATAAACAGTTGATTCTATAAACCAGTGATCACATTAAGCGGAACTTACTGTATATTCGGATGAAATACATTTATGAAATGCATCTTATGCATAAGAAACAATAATATACTCAGTACTATATTTATAAGTGTAAATCTTTGCAAATTCTGAGTTTATTTAATTTACTTCTCCTTTTCCCATTACATACATACAAATTTATATTACATAAGCATTGATTTTATTTTTAAAATTGTAAATAATTAAAAAAAACAAATATAATTTCAGTTTTTTTGATTTATATATAAAAATTAAAACTATCAATTTTTTGTTTTCTATATTGGTTACCCATTAAAGTATTTGTTGTAAAAATTATATTAAAAACAAATTGAACACATCAATGAAGGTCCTTAAATTGGTAATATACACGAGTACTTCTATAAAACGAAGACATAATACATAATATAATTAGATAATTAAGTATTATTTGATAAATAATAAGGAATCTTTTTTTATTTTAATAAACATAAAATCTTATTTTGTATATTAGATACCTACCACATCATAAGAATTTTTATAATTTGTATTTTTATGTTATGATACAATTTATTCTGACAATTGTATTGTTTGAATATTATTTTATTTAATTAAATTTTTAATAAATATTAAAAAAACATTTCTAAAACTTTTAATATGTTAAATTTAATCTATTTCTGAAGATGCTTTATTATTATTCACAATTCTTTTATTTGTATTATTTTTATTATAAAAAGTAATAATAATAAGTAGTTGTAGCTATTCGTTATTATTATGGTGATGGTGTAGTAAACGGTGGTTGTATGTATTGTTTTGTGATGACCAGAATGGCCCTACTGCCTCACCAGACATTTCGCAAACGAAAATTATCTGCAGACAGTTACCACAATCACCCGATAGCAGCAATGTCCTCAAGCGTCTACACATTGGAAGTCCATACAGACAAAAGTGGGCAGGCCTTGTACCCAAGGTACGTACTAAGTTATACAAACATTAAATATTTAATAATTAATTTTATTAAGTCACTTCATAAATTACTTTGTTAACAGATTTTTTTTTTAATGTTGTTTCCATGTAGGATGATGTAAGATGGAAAATTACATGTGGTAAAACTAATGATCAACAAGAAATGACAGCATTAGCTTATAAATGTTTGCAAATGAAAACACCGCACAAGAATCACAACACAAAGGCGCCTGGATTTAAACCTCGACAATTAACATTCTAGTTTTTTAACAATAATTTCTCCTTGTATATTAAGATATACAACAGACTAAGTGAACTATAGTAAAAATTATAATAGTGAAATTAGAATTCAATGATTTTAAATCATTTGATTGAGTTTTTCCTTTTGTAATTTTTTTTGAGTTATCCCATTTTTATTTGTTTTTCATACTGTTATTATTTCTATTTATTCTTCTTTTTTATTTTATTTTTTTCATTTTGTAATGTAATTTTAATTATATAGTAATAAAAATGCAATTTTTAAGTAGTAATCTTATTTTTATGTTTTTGTGTAATTTTATATAAATATATTAAAAAATTATACTTGATGACTTTTAAAATAGGATTTGATTTTAATGTATTTTTTTATGTATATACATAAAATGTGCACATTTGAATTTGATATTGATTTTTTTTTTTTTTTTTTGGCACTACCATAACAATATAAAATATTTTATAAATATTAGTATTTGTGTGAATTGCATCATTAATTTGTATTATAAATGATTTTGTACCAAATATAAATTTAATTCATTTTGAAGGAAAAAATATATATATAGTGTTCATAGTCTGTATTTTTTATTCATAATTTTTTATCTTTGTTAATTTTTGAAGTAATGTTAAAAGTTAATCATTCTTGCAATTTTAAATGTTAACCATAAGTTCAAAAAGTAACCCATATATTAAGTTTTAAATTAAATCATAAAATTAAAGTTTTTTTCAGTTTAAAAAATTTTTACTTTGGATGGTATGAAAAAGATTGTGGATGTTTGAAAGTTTGGTATGTCACATACTCAACAAATACCAAAATATTTATCTTCCATTCATTACTGTATTGAGTATTGCTAAAAATTTTTCAATTTTACAAACAGTGATGGATTGTAGAAGGTATTTCAGAATATTTCACCGCAATTAATTCACTACGTAATTTTTCACTGTCGCATTTCACCACATTTACAACTCACCGCGTATACATTTTTATGATATGATGGTGAATTGTTATTATTATTTAGTAGAAAATATTTAAAAAACAAACAATTCAGTAAAAGTTTGGCACAATAGATTTTCATCCACATTAAATGTAATTCATCTTAGTATTTGGAAATGTATTGAGGCGTTTAAAAAAGAAAAATCCATGTTAAACAGTTTATAGCCAGGCATTCCAGTGGTGTATACAGAAAGTATTTTCGGGAGGGGCTACTTACTATGGACAGAGTTAAATTACCACTGCTTTTTAAGAATTATTAACAAGACACAGTAGGTACTTATCTACATTTCATTCAAAGTATGATTTGACGTTGGATGCAAATTGTAAATAAGCATAAAGCACCATTAAAATATAACATACGTTTATAATAATTTTTAAGTTTTATAAAACATTTCGGGAAGCCTGTAGCCCGCTAGTCCCCCCCCCTATATACGACACTGGGACATTCTATGGGCGTTAAAAGAAAATACAAAGACTGCTGAAAGGTTAAAAAATGTGTGTGATAACTATCATAATAGAATAACAGAAAATTATTTAAGAGGCGTAGCCATGGAGGGCAAGACGGAGCATTTGCCCCTTTGGAAAAAATTAATTGAACAGTAATAACAAGGTTTCCAATTGAACAACTATGAAGACTTCAGTTTTTATTTAATAACGACTAAAGTGTGTATAATTCTAATATATTTTATTGTTTGCTTATAATAAATTTTTTAATATTCTTTTTGGTGTTTGATTTAATTATGCCCCCTTTGATAAATTTCCTGTGGGCGCCTATGGGCATAGCCCATAATTTTCAGTTAATTGTTAGATTATTTATATTGGTAGTAATTTATAGTAATATATATATATATATACATATATTTTTTTTTGACAGTATGTAAATGTACTTGCATAAACTAATTTATAATTTTTAATTAAATGAACAATAATTATACTATTATGTTATTATTTACTTATTATTGAATTGTACTATATCTCTATATCTGTCCTGTTTCTGTAACTTGTATGTTATCATTTTGTGAATATTTTTTGATATTTTCAATTGGTCTTTCTGTGGCTTTCGTAGAAACAAAATCATGATCCGAAAAAACATTCTGATTAATGGGTTTTATTTTTCAAATACTAAAAGCTTTTAAAGAAAAAGGTTGGTCATCACTGGTTTAACCGGTCTTTCATTAAATGAGTATACTCAGGGATCAATCTCTTAAAAGGAATTAATATATGTATTCAATTTTTCTTTACCAAAAAAAGTATTTAGGGACTATGGGTATAATTGCCTAAAGCGATACATTTTTAAAAATTCAGTGGGGTGCTAAATTTTTTAATGTTTAGAGGGATGACAAATTTTTATTTCGTAGGTTCATTAATATCATAATATTAATAAGTATCATAATAGTTCATTAGACTATAAATTTTTGGTTTCCAATCTTTTATGAATGTGACTGAAATTTAAAATTTAACTATTTACAAGCACAAACAAATAAATATAAAAACGAATATTTCTAGTTGTTGAAATTATAATTTCTAACCAATATTAATCATTGTAAATCAAATATAAATCATATTCTTGCATTTAAACATTTAACTCATTTAACGGTTCAAACTCATCACTTAAAAGAGCCTAATAGGTTATTCATCACATCATCATTACAGTCTTAAGTCAGTAAATAGTTTTTTTTTGTTAGAAAAATATGTATTTCTATACGCAAAGAAATGACTCGAGAAAGAATTTTTCTTCAGGAATACTAACGTATATCTGAGTGATAAAGTAAATTAATAAATAGCAATCCCATCTCGTCATACATGGTATTGAATATTGATGAATTTAATATCCTTGATTTTATTAAATGTATTATTTGAATAACATTCTGAGGAATTATATAAAGTGGTGGTTGAATTGTTCGTGTTGCAGAATTTTCTCTGAGTAATAAACAATGAATAATTACAACATTTGGATTAACTTTCTGAACTTGTTTACAAAATCCAATTAAACCCCCAAGCATAGCTGATGCACATCAGGACATATTTCAATGCAGTCAGTCGAAACTAGGTAATTTTTCCAAAAAAAAATAACAACTTTTTTAAAAATGTCTTAGCCAGTTATGGTTATAAAAAGCGGCTCGCAAAATAGAAATTCATCAAAATAATCGTCGGGACTTCTATAACATATAAATAGTATTTATACTATTTATAGTAAATGGTATTTATTAAATACCATTAGTTGAATTTTATTTTAGACATCAGCGGATTCATCGATTTGAATTAAAATTTTTTTTTGTTAAAATAACTTGATGCATTAGCTGCTTTAAAATATTTTCAGACATCAAATCTATCCTTTGTTTAATAGTGTTATAAAAAAACGGTATTATTTCTAACTTAATAGCTATATCATTTCCTCAGATGCAGGGGCCGACCTGGAGTATTAATTTTTGGGCTTGAGGCTAAACAATTTTAGGGACTCATAAACAGGATTAAAATATTGGAGAATTACAAATAAATATAATTCCAATATCAAAAATTATGTTTAAATCTTTTTAAAAATAACAATTTTATTTTCACAAACAATTTTTTGTTACTTACTTTTCTGGAAGCAAACTCTTCGTCAATGGTATTTATTACATCCAAAATACAACTTTTAACACATAATATCATTAAATTAGTTTGATTTTCCTGTCGATTTTTTGTTTTGTTCCTGTTTTTTATACACGCTAGATTAAAAAAAGTATACACGTTTTTAGACAAACATTTTGCATCAGGATATATTTTAATTGTCGTATACAAATTAGAAAAAGAAAGTAGAAATTTTTTTTTATTAAAAAACTTCTAAATATCTAGTAAATCATAATATATTGTATCCTTATATGAAAGTTAACTCAATTCATATTATAAATTAAATTGCATTATTTCATTTTTATAGTATAATTAACTTATTTTTTATACAACAAAATACGCTTTTTAAGACTTACTAACTTAGTTAAAAATAAATTATAATATATATATATATATATATATATATATATATATATATATATTAGGTATATATTATATTATAAGAAACATATAGGCCAACAGGGATCCATATTTTTCAATATCCTTAATGGACTTGGACTTTGACTAAGTTATGGACTCCATTTATCCGCACTTGGCAGGTACTATACCTCAGCACCTTTATTTTACTCGTTTTTTTACAGATATGATCTTTCACTACTTGCTACTCTAAGTCAAATTTTTGATGGACTAACACTCACAATTTACCCAAACGATTCTATTGTACAATTTTCTTCCTAACAACTTCACATAATTTATGTTATTTAAATGGTTTATATTTTAATTCAAATTAATATTATTTAATGTGTAGTATTATACTTATAGTATTGTAGTATATTATACGAATATAACTGTAAATTACGATTTTATTTTAATAAAAATACATAATAAATGTAATACTAAAAAATAAATCTGGGGCTCTTTACTTTTCATTAGAGAAATATACGGAAATATTTGAGTTGAAAGAAATTAAATCACCTCTCTTCCGCAAGTTGAGCTTATGGCTGAATCCTTAACTCGTGATCGGAGACCTAGTAATTAATATTACACGGAATATTTCGGCCATCGGTGGTGCATTTCATTGGACGTAAGATTCCAGGTATCTTATAAAAAGTGAGAATAAAAATGATGAGAAAGCTTTGGTCAGCGTGTGTGCATCTACGGTCAAGTGCTGTTATTGAACGACCGATAAATCATAAACGTGGCTGTAAGAAAATACGTCGTGAAATTCTTAACGTTTTATATTAATATTATGTATGAATGAAATCGAACCTTGCGGAAGTTCAGGTAGGAGCGATGGTGGATCGGTAGGCGAATGCACGAGCACAACGCGAATTTTTTCCACACGTCACAATGACGAAAACGAGAATGTCATTGTACATCAACTCTTGTGCATAAATATGCCACCTGTATATTGCTATACTAACCAAGCACAGACCGCAGAATAAAAAGTAATGGGATAGAATATGTATATTAAAGAACAGGGTTTAAGTATATTTTGGGCGATACTTACTGAGTCGTAAAACATAAAAATAAAAGAAAATACATAAATATCAAGCAATATAT